CCATTGGAATTTTAAAGTGACGATCGTAATCGCTCTCGATTAAGCGCACCGCATATATCAAGTGTGTAACAAGACAGGACGTGCACGAGATCGTGAGAGATCGATTTGACGTTATCATGTCTCTTTAACAATAATTTGCATTCGATTAATAATTTTGTATCTCTATGCAGCGTGACGCCGTTACGTTGACACTTTGAGTATCGTTATAACGTCACATATTGCCACGCGCGGGTATTGCGCGAAGAAAACTTAATATAACATCAAACAGAAATGAAAAATTACTATCAGATTTAATACAGCATGAAATACAGTTGTAAATATAAATTTGACGTTTTAATGATTATTCGGTTAATATCGTGCCTTAATATCCAAAGGTATCATATGAATATTCGCGAATTTATTAATTTAAACGCGGATTGTTCATTACGGAAAGTTAGACAAAATATTAATTGCAAGCAAAATTTATTATTGGATTGCGTATTATAAAAACGCGATTAAAGCAGCAGGAGCACTGTATTACATGCGCGACAAGGTGCTCGAGGTATCGAAGAAAAGAAGAAGTTTGCCGATTTTCGATGAATATTAAAGTGGTTTCGCTGATTGGCCGGGCTGCCTTTCGGCGAGCGGCAGATTTGGCGTATTGATATTCCGTCGTGGTACACTTGACTTTTAATACCTACCACTTCTTCCCGGCTCTCTCGCATCTAATTGTTTACTGCAAGTGGGTTAAGCGGTCTTGCTCCCTTAATTGCGCCGACCAGTTTCATAATTTTTTTTTTTTTAAATTAAATCGGCTCCTTTAATTGCGCGCGAGACACGACGACAGAGAAAGCTGTTGCCGGTTTAAAAGGCTACCTTTTCGGCAAGGCTAGGCGTGGTAAAAAGCTAGTCATAAAACACTCCCGAAATATTTTCGCATATATGACTCATCGACTATGAGTAAAGTCTACTACGTTTTAGCGATTTAGTAGATACGATTTAATATTATTTTAATCTTGGTTATGATATTCTTCAGAAGAATCAAAGAACTTGATTTTAGCTTTAAAAAATTTATATATAAAAATCAAGTGAAATAAAGAAATGAAATCTAAGTGAAATATATAATACAATATACAATTAAACAAAATTACAAATTTTTTCGTCAAATAAAATAAGAATAATTTAATTACTAATTTAATTCTTTAATTTGATTCTCAGATTAATCAGACAACTGACAGCTTGAAATCGATTTTTTTTCAGTGAATTATTATTTACCATAATTGTCGTCAATTTTGAGTATTATATAAATGTCTTTATAATAAAGTTTAAAATTAAAATTTGATTACTGTCCATTTGAAATTCATTGAGAAATACTGTCACGTTCGCATCATTTATTTCACCCCATTTATTTTTTCATTTCACGTGATTACGATAATTAAAGAATGTTTGCTTTATAAGAGCATTTCATAAAAACAAAACTTTCGGGAATCGACGTTTTATGCTGTGTACAACAACGTGTACTAACAACTTCCTTTTTCTCTTCTGCCCGAATGCAGCTTTATTACGCAACGCGCTCCAATTTATTTGCAATTTATTCGCTTCGCGGCCGGAGCGAATACTCTATTAATACCTGCTTCGTGTCTTCCCTACTGAACCTGTTTGTTTCTCGGTGAACACACCGTTACATCATAATTCTCGGACAGCATCACCGGTTTCCCAGCTACTTCTGCGGCCTGCTCGCTCACTCGCTCGCTAAGGACTTTATTGCTTCATTTGTCCAATATCATTTCATGATCGTAGTACCCCCGACTTCCTCGCCGCGTTTCCATTCTTCGTCATTCTTGCTGCACCCCGCGCTTCGCCCCCGTCTTCTCTGGTTTCGTAACTGGTTCGCCGATATTCACTCGCGTTTTACTCCGACGACATAAACGCCGGACTTGCAGCCTCTCGTTAGAAGTTTCGCAAGGAGGATAATGCGCCTACCTTTTGTGTTTTTCACCACAGACTTTTCAAACCGCGAACTTTTCTTTGTCGGCCGATTAAAATTCTGAATTTAAAAATCAAAATGTTTGTTTTTATCTTCATTTGACACTGTCGTGCATTACGCAACGGGCTATAAAATTCTTGGAATTTTATAAAAAACACAGCGACCGGAAAGTTAATGACTACAAATTATGCATGCAAATGGTGTTAATTGTGACAGCGTTTCGAGATGTTTCATGGTGCCATCCTGAAACGTTGCGATTGTTGCTTCTCTAACTTCTTTAGATCTCTTGGAAATTTTGAGAGAAAAATGCGAGTTTGCGAAACCACGATTGCAGAATTCAGGAGATGAATCATTTTGAAAGCACAGAGAAAAAGAAGAGGACACGTGACGTATGTTGGGAAATTATTATATCGGCCAAATGAAGCGATAAAATGTGGTCGCAGACATATTATTACGGCATATAAAGGCGCTCGTAAAATTTTACCAATTCCTGACTACGTAGCACGAGGAATCGCGCACGGCGGAGAATAAAAAGATGATCTGGAAGGGGGAAAGGGCAATGACGAGAAGAAACGAAGTGCCTTTATGTATTTTTTTCCCCTCCCTCCTCTCATACGAAGATTGACTCGCGTCTGAGTTTTTCTTTTTCTCCTGCATCTGAAATTCGATCGATTGAAGCCCGGGTACCGATGGTCTCGAGTTCCCAGCACGAGAAGATCCTTGGCCTCTTTTACCGGGAAGTAGCAGGATGCTTCGTTACACGCAAATAACCTCGCAAACGTGACTTCATTTGTTTGAAACTTGTTCCGAAAAGAATTTTCTCTTGGACCTGCACGGTGCCGCGGCGGTCGAAAAAAATTTGAAAATCGCTTCAAAGCAAACCTCGATATCTAATAATAAATTCTGTATTCTTTGTATCTCTTTAGAGACTTAAATATTAAAAATTTCAAGTTTTCTATCTAATTTTGTAGTTTTTAAGATTTTACGTGGTGTAAAGTAAAAAATCGTACGATTGTCCGACAACGGAGAGTAAATAAAAAATGAAAGGCAGAAAATTGGTTGAGATTAAGGAAGGAAAGCAGCCATTGTGTGTCGGGTATCGTCGGCCGGAATTCGTAGAAATCGGCGAAATCGTCGTGATCGGCTGGGCCTCATTAGCCCGCTCGATCGATCTTCCGCGCGTGGATTGCGAGGGATCGATACGGGGCTCCACCCCCTGCTCCTTAATCACCCCTTCCCCGCCTTATTCTTTGGAAACCGTTGCGAGATCGTCGAACTTCACGATTCGATTTCCTCCGGGCGACGAGTTGCTCAAACGCGATGCCCGCCGATCGCGTTCCCGGTTTCCTACCGTATACCGATCTCGCACGAGAGATCGAAACTAGATCGCGTTGCACAAGACGCAATCAGGAGGGGAAAAAAAAAGATCGCTGCGGGGAACAATTGCATTGTGGCCCCTCGTTGCTCTTGGGACCTACATTTCCCGGGCCCCCGATTTCTCAGCGCGACCGACAATGTTCTTAAATTCTCGGAAGTTTCTGATGGATTATCATTTAAACGAGCATTGAATTACATCGGGTGGCCATGAACAATCAAGATTATAATTTTCTTTTATAGATTAAATCATAAGAATATTCGTAATTTTTATTATTGAGCCCAGAGTCTTTATTCTTGGCTCATTAAACGCGATGTTTATAGATTTAATTAACCACGACTTTAGCTATTCTTCGAGATATCTTCGAGAGGTATTCTCGGTTCTCATTATCGTCGTCGTTCGTCAGCGATACGTGTTGCTTTCCTTGCAACGTTTGCCCATTAACCGATAAAACGAATGCAACGGCGTCGCAGGGGATGACCTAGATTTTCCAGAGTTTCCTTGCGCGACCGTTTACCTCGGTGTACATCGGTAATGCGGGATCGTTTGGAGCACAGCTCGAAGAGCAGGACTCTCTCGCATGCTCTATGGCGTGGGAACGCACCGTAGTCGTGTATAAATTCGCTCTAGCAAGGCACACAGTTCGCGAGATCGGAGCGGGAGGAGGGAGACTGAAAAAGACAGAGAAAAAGAGGGAGAAAGAGAGAGAGGAGAGTACGGCGCGCCGGGCGCGCGTGTACGACGCCGAGCGGTATGAGCAACGCTTGCTCGCTTGCTCTCTTGCGCAACTTCTTTTCCGCGCTCGCTTATCCCGCAACGGCGCACCACAACGCACTGTACCAAATTAATACAGTGTAGCCGTGCGGCAGCGAGCCGCGCTCGGCTAAATGCCAACAACGCGAGCCCGCGCGCAACAATTGATCGCAGCCGCGCCGCGCCGCTCTGCGCTCCCGGATGTCCGAGCGCCCGAGTGTCGTTCCTCTAACCGGTCGCGGAACGTTGCGCCTGCGCCATCAATTGTTGGTGCCATCGTCCAAAAAAAAGAATCAGACTGAAAAACATTGGGGAATTTCGTACCATTGTTATTTACCGTTCGCATTGTTCGAAAATTAAGCTGGGATTTTAAGAAGAGCACTAGAAATATTGCGATTAATATATTCATTCTAAATTTTCATTCATTATATTTCATTCAATATATTCATTCTAAATATTCATTCATACTAAATTTTATACAAAATCTAAATAGTTTTAAATTGAGGAGCACGATATTTTACGAACAAATATCGAATTGAATTTTCTTCCATTCTCTCTTTTAATTTATGTGGGTTTATTTGTGTGTATGAATTTATTTTGATGTGTAACTAATATCTTGGTATAAAATATAAACGTTAAAAGTCACACCTAACAATTTACACTAAAAATCAGCAGAGATTTGAACCAGACATGAGTATCGCGTTAAAACAGCACCATTTCTTCCTTCCAGGTAGTCTGTGGAATTCGAGGATGCGGTGGCGAATGGGGCGGAGTCGAGGGCGCTGCGTTTGATACCCAATTCATACCGACGTCGGCATCGTCCAGTGGGCTTCAACGACTTTACTGAGATCGAGTAGAGCGGGTACCGGCAACAACGAGTACAACGAGCGCCGCCATATCATTTCCATGGACTTGACGGAGGCTTTCGCCCCGGGAGGTGGCGGCGAGGATCTGCCGAAGACGGACTTCTTCGACTTCGTCGTGTCGCCGCCGCCGCACTGCGCCACGACCGACGGCGTCGTCTCCGATGAGGAGAGTTTCCTGCATCGCGGTGCCGGTGGCTGCCGCACTATGGGCGGTTACCTTCCGACCCACGACGACCACGAGAGCTCGCACGGCAGTTCACCCTTTATCAAGGAGACCAACAACAACACGCTGACAGCACTGCCGCCCGTCTCGACCATCACCGGTTCGTTGAGCCATCACCATCAGCATCATCACGTGCATCACCAGGTGCGTTCACAACATGGAAACGTTCCGACCAGCGACACCACTGCCATGGATCAATCCGAGTGCGATTATTGGGGCCAGGAGGACGAGAGTAAGGAGCAGACGTGTAACATTCTATTGGAAGATCTCAATAAATACTGCTGGTCCTCAAACGCGCACACCAACGACAGTGTCATTCATCCGGCGGCCGGCGGACCCAACGATCATCATCAGGCCGTTAGTTCGGGCCGTACGGGTTGCGCCGCCAACGATCGACAGAACACGGACGGTGCCATTTATACTCTAACGGTGCTGAACAACGAGGCAAACTCGATGGACGCGTTGGATTGCTGCAAGAGCCCGGCGCCCGCGTCCGGCGACTCCTGGTCTCTGCGGCCCAACCTCGACCTAGACGCCATTCTGAGCATGGAGCCGTCCTCCGGCGAGCAGGATCACGAGCAAGCTAGTGGCGAGGTGTCCAGGAGCGTTAACGAAAGGTTTCACGGATCGGATGGTCACGGTTTTACTGTGCCCTCATCGCAATACGCCACCGACGATAGCGGATTCGTCGAGAGCAAAGAGTTGTGCGCGCGAGCGTCCTCGGCCAACTGTTCCGGCGACAACAATAACGATTGGAAGCTGTCGGATCAGAATTTGCAGGAAGTCGCAGCAGCGGCGGCGGCTGCGGTCGCCGTTGGTGCCGGGGATTCCGCCGAAAGTCTCCTGAGAAGCGCTCTTCAGGGTAAATTGTACACCGGACCGACCCAATCGGTTTCCTCGTCCTCGCCGTCCTCGCAGGCGTCCACCATCTCGATGCCGGTTTCGGGAACCGCGGGTCTAATGGTATCCGATCAGCAGCAGCAGCAACAGCAACAGCAACAGCAGCAGCAGCAGGAAGACTCTATGCAGGCTTGTACCGATGAAGATTTGCTGCTCTCGCAGCTGGATCAGACGACCTATCGACCGGGCGATTATGAGAAGCTTAAAAGCATCGCGAATGAAGTAGTAGAATCGTACTGCAGCCTCGAGCCGGTTTGTAACGTGTCGGCGACCACTACAGTAATGTATACATTAGATCCCGCAAGTGGAAGTCTGGGTACCATAACGTTACCGGCCGATCTGGGCCAGGTGAGCACTGTGACAGTAGTTACGGCTGCGCAGCAAGACGTTTTACAACAACAATCCGCTCAACGAACTGACGTGGATCAGCAACAACAGCAGCAACAGTCGGGTCAGTTGCAGCTGACTTCTGGCCGGGTAGGAGTTACCTCTAAGCCGCCGAAGAAATATGTCAGGCGCGCTAATCGCAATAACAACAACGCCAATGGTGCCAGTAACGGTAGCGCCGGCACGGAGACTAGCAATGCGAGTCAGCAGCAGACTGGCGGTTCCGGCGGCTCGCCCGGTAGCGTTCAGCGCAAGGAACGTTCCCTGCATTACTGCAGCATCTGCAGCAAAGGCTTCAAGGACAAGTATAGCGTGAACGTGCACATCCGGACGCACACCGGCGAGAAGCCGTTTGCCTGCTCGCTCTGCGGCAAGAGCTTCCGACAGAAAGCCCACCTGGCCAAGCACTATCAGACCCACGTGACTCAGAAGCCCGCCAATATCCAGCAGACTACTTCCGGAAGCGGTGGAAACAACGGAAATACCAGTCCGACGGCGGAGACTAACGCGACCGCTACGTCCCCCGCCATCGCCAGCAGGACCCAGGTCGCTGTAGACCCGACGGGAACTGCCTGTAGTCCCCCCAGTTAGTTCGCAGGACACGGACACGGCACGACGTCAAGCGCGGACGCACCGTCGTCCACGTTTTCTTTTTTATTTCTCTCGGAAAAGATGGCGGCTGAAGCTGGTCTCCGCTTTCTTTTTATTCTCCATTTTTTTTTATATGAGCATGATTTTCTTTCCATAATAGAAACGCCGAGCCGAGCTTGCGAGAAAGAGCGAACCATGACGAGCGCATTAGATAAGCGTATCGTGTACAGGGTGTTCAGAAAATTCACATACTTTTGAAAAGTAATTTTTTTGAAGAATTGTTGATATATCTAATTTCAGCTATTTAAACCGGACTTGAATTATATTTAATTATAATAGTAATAAGCTGATTAAATCATTCATTTGCCTAAATTGTCATTTAGGTTAACATAAATAACTTTACTTAGTTATTTTCAATCTAATTTCTCGAGTTTTTCAAGTCGATTTAATTAAAGTTCACTCAGTTACTTGAATTAGTTCTCGAATTAACTTAATTGATTCCTAAATCAGATTGAATCGTTATGTTGCAAAAAATAATTTCTTTATACAAAAGTAGGAGTATTCTGTGACACTCTGTATGCTAACGGGAAATTGATTAAGTTTTGCATGGCGAAACTACGCGACCGAAGGGTTGTTAATTAAAAAATTAATTAAGAACTTTGCGAGATTATCTATCCTAACGGTGACAGTTCCGTCGCCGGTTTCTGTATTACTTATTAATTATGGACGGCCAAGAGGAGCTAATCGCTTCTCTTGTACTAACATGACACCCGTGAAATTGTTGTTCCTACGATCATTCAATTACCATTAATGACGATAATGACAGAGACAATGACAACGGCGACGATGACGACGACGAGGACAGAATGATATATGAATGTTTATAGGCTAATTGACGATTTATTATATTTAATAGCCACGAGATATTAACGTTGAAAATGTTTTATAAAATAAATTTTTTATATATGTATAATTATGTACGTGATGTTCCATAACTACCGGATTTTCTTAATCAAAGCTTTTTCGACAATGGAAGAATAATTTTCCTTTAATGAAAATATTGAAGATCATTATTTATTTCCCGTCAATTCTATGTTGCATGTTTCTTTTTGTAATTTATCTAGAAATAAAAACTTTATCAAAATTAACTGTGAGATTAAAACTGAGATTAAACGACAGATGCTTCGATATTTTCGTTAAAGAAAAATCAATTTCCAAATCGACCTAAGAGTTAGCGAAGCGGACATCTGGTAGTTCTGAAACATCTCCTGTACACAGAGAGTAGATTAGGCAATAACTTAGAGCGATTAAGTGCAGAGTATCGAGAGGAAGACCCTTTAATAAGTAATTAGTAGCATGAGCTGTGATTTAGGTACATACTCAACGAGCGGTTTAGAGCGAAGCAAACGTAAGATGCGTAAGTGCTATTCTCTCATTGGTACTCCTTTTTTTTTTTAAACTCTCTCTTCTCTCGCGAAATCGCAGCTGAAAAAGGGACCAATCGCGACGACGATTATTTTCAATTATTTTGAACGATTTTATCGAATGCTATATATGCTGCAGAATCGATGGCCGTAAGAGTCGCGTTTGTTTTCCGTCCTTCTTTTTCTTACCTATCTTATTCGCAAAATAAGATCCTTCACGAAAGCATTTTCATTGATATATTAATGTTATAATAATATTACGCTACTTACAATAACGTTACGCGTGTGATAATATAATATTACAATATTGTTGACGTATATATAATTACAAAATTATATATACACTATTTTACTGATATTATAATATTAATATTATACGAGATCCTTTGTTGTTCAGGCAAGTGCCCTACTTACCATAAGTCTGAATATTAATACTAAAGTTTATGAAGTTTTGAATAACACTTTTCAGATAACATTGAATTCTATACTTTTATTTCTTTAATCAAGATTGAAAAGGCAAATATATAATTTTTTTTTAATTTTTAATAGAATTATACTAGCTCTTCAAAGTCAAATTTTTTGTGGAAAAATATGTTGATACAATTATAAAACTTTTGAATATATATTAATTATATGTGCTTATTAATAAAATTATTAAATGAAGGTTTAGGTATATAATAAATTACTATTGATTTACATCGATAACCGACGATTTTTGGTCTAATATAATTATCAAACATTAATAAAATTAAGACAATCATTTACAAAGTAATTTATGCACTTCGCCATTTTGATAAAAGTTAAAAATTAGTGTTTGAATCGTCGAGGCTTTTTGAAACAATTGTCCGTGAAGAGTTAATCCGTAGATAATAAAATTATATCCGTAGATAATAAAATTGCCTTTTATATGTTAATGATACCCAATACTCATACATCATGATATTCACTGCCGTTGTTATTAGCATTAAACCCATCAGTCTTTGATAAAAAAAACAGAAATAATTAGTAATTAATTAATACGCCACCGATTTCAATAATGTAATCAACGCGATTCTTTCGGCTGCGATCTCGAAAGCTGCGACAACGCTTTAATCACGATATAGCATACTTATTTCGGCGAGTGCGACGACCGAGAGACGACGCGCGAGAATCCCCGCGAACACCCTGTAGACACCGTGCTACATTTTCCGCGGGGGCCCGCGACCCCGTAACAACATCATGGAGGTCAGAGTTGCCAAAGGGATCCCTCGGGCTATCGCGAGAGGTTTCGCCTGGTAATTACACGTTGCACCGATATTGCGTTACGTGCGTGCTCATCGCGTATGCGCATGCACACGACCTCATCGCGGGCCGTGTGGTCGCATCGCATCGGGCCAAGTAGCAATAAATTTCACTTCACTTATAATATGGCGATAATTTTATCCGCCGCTCTTGTCGACGATTCGTTATCGGGATAATTAATTACACGGCCGCTGCTACAAAAGTGAGGCGGCTTACGAGAGGTGCATTTAAAAGATGCGACGCGCGTTCTTATCAACGACCTGATTTCAATTTCAGATTTTTTAAAAATCATCTCTCCCCGGAGAGAGTCACGTTATATAAAAATAATACACGCTCATTTTCGTGCAATTAAAAATATCACAAAATTTTGCGAAGAAATTTAAAGAATATCGAGAGAAAAATTCCAATATTTGTTAAAAAATGAAAAAGTTTCGCGTGACTTCGCAGTCGCGGTCGCCTCCCTCGCCGATCCCCGCCGATTCTCGTCCAATTTGCGTAATTAGTCACGTATGTACAACATAATCGAGACTATTCTTCCGCTGACATACTCAATCGACGACGCGAGCGGCAAATGATACTAGAAAACACATCGTCAGGTATTGCAATGTTCAATTAATCATTTGTTAACAAATAGTGCTGTCAAACCCGATATTGCTCAATTTGTTTTAATCACGGATCACACCCTAATAATAATATGGCGATGTCGTAAAATTAACAGAAGTTATATTATATTCGTTATCTTATGCAATTATAGTTGATTCATTAGAAAGAGAAGATAGGAAAAACTATAAAAAATTAATGCTTGTACTCTAATTAAAACATACTTCTACAACAGACTGTCGTAATTATAGCCAGACGTCTAATTTCGATGATTTTACCGTGTTCGATCATATCTTGCCCACTTTCGTGTTTTTAATATTCTAATTAAAAGGAGGAAAGACTTCAAAAGGAGAAATTAAAGACTTGCAGACTTTTTTCTTCCGGATTATAATAATAAATAAATTATAAATTGTAGAATTTTATCTTTGAAGAAACTTTACAATTTATTTTATACTATTTTTTAACTGCTGTTTATAAAAACAATATTTAAGTTAAAAGCTATAGATTTTTTTGTCCGTACTACGTAATATTTGAAATTATAAAATTTGAAAGCGCTATTATTTTCTCTCCGCGGAACTAATGACTCTAAAATTCGTTCTGTATTATTTTTAATTGGTAGACAAAGTAAATTTGATCTCCAACTAAATAGCTTAATTAAAGGGTCAGGTAAACTAGGTCGCACACCGGATCGGTGTAGAGAAGGTGGCCCGCCCGGTTCGCTCGGTTTGTAGGGCACCTCGATATAAGGGCGTTATTACGGCAGCGCCTCATCACGTCTAGGGTACTTAAAGATCGCGATGATGAGAGCGACCTTATAAGGGGTGTTTAAAGTCACCGCCGTCGCAGCATCACCGCCGCGGCTTTCACCAATCCCGTCGAATCAGATTGCGACCCGCCCTAATGCCGCTTCTAATCAACCGCGCGATCGATCCCTCGATCTCGCGATCGCGAAAGGAAAGCGGCATCGTTGCGATTACTTGTAAGCGCGTCTTTGAGAGTTAATGAGCCCGAAGGATCTCGGAATGAAATCCTTTCTCGGCTCTTAGAAATTTTATATTCGTACATCTTTGAAATCGCAAGAGAAGTTTATAAATCGTTAAATTTGTAAATATAAAATATTTTTTTTATCTATTTCCATTTTTTTATTTTTATCACTTTTACACTTTTATCAGCGTTATTCAGCGTTGTTTCAAATATTTTTAATTTCTCTAATCTTATTTTTAATTTAAAAAATGCTTGAGTTACGTTTAATGATTGAATTTTTTCGTTGCTGAAATTTGATGACAGTAAGTTTTTACTATTACAGCCTAAGCGACTGTTTAAGAGCTGCGCACATAAGCTTGTTAACCTTCTGAAGGTAAAACGGAGGTGTGGCACACCCCGTCTTACAACAATGATCTCCATAGATGGAAGATTGCGCGAAAAGAGCAACGCAAAGGTCGCCACGAACGAATCGCGTGACGCAAATGCAGAAGGAAACGAGTTATCGATAGAAAAAGATCGCGAACAATCGTAGGTGGCAATCTTACCATTTTTTTAAATTTAGAGAATTTTACAAAGATAAAAATAATCCGAGAACGTAACAATGATCCAAAATCATTTCTAATAATTTTGTTTTCATTTCTTAACGACACATATTTTTCTTCTTTTATATAAGTCATTTTTTAAAATCGTTGAAAAATTTCGCCATAAAATTGACGATAATTTGACATTATTCGAAAACGAGCATATTTTATGAAAAAATCTCTTCCTGTTTATTTTAAGCGCAATATCGTAATATTATTTATTTCCTGACAATGTGTGTCGAAACAGCCGCTTCGTCGCGATAGCATCACGTAAGAGAATACTCATCGGAGTCTACGGATCCTCGGTTCCTCTTTACTCGAGAATCCATGTGATCGCCGATATCTTTCCCTATATTCGAGATACGTTCTTAAATTTATGTTACTTTCTTCTCTCAGCCTATACTTTGCCTAGCATGTACGTACGTAAAGCTAATCCTAGGAATAACGTGGCGGCTGTACAGCCCGTTAAGGATACGAATCCGAATCCTGAGGTTACCATGGTAACGAGAATGTAAATGTAGAAGGCGTCCTTTTTTCCCCCACTTTTTTTTAATGCGATGCAATAATACTCAAAGCGGTCGAGGGCCGCGCGATGAAAAAAATATAGATTAATTTCCGAAGAGATGTAAACGCGCGCATTTAGCTAAAGTGTGGCTGTTTTATCTTCGTCTCAATCGTGAATCAAAATTAGAGCCGAAGAATTCCATTTTAGCTGTAAATGCGCGCGGAAAATGCAAATCTTTATACCCCGAAGTTAATAAAATATATTATATATTATACATATATATATATATAGGATAATCACATGCAAACGAAAAATATTTCAACGACAAATTTTTGAAAATATTTCAATTAAAATATTTTCGATTTAAAGTAAATAAAATTTTAATATAAAATTATTTGATATTTAAATGCCTTTAATATTTCAATTATTTAAAAGATTTTCTACTGTACATTTGGAATCTTTAATATGTATAAAATAATTATAAATATGTTTCTTTTGATTTTAAAGCCTCATGTATTAAAATCTTAAAATAAAATTTATGATCAGGTAAAATCGACTTTAAACTTAAAAATCTGTCGTTGAGACAGTTTTCGGTATGTGCAGTGATACCTTGTATGCGCGTCGGCCTACCCAGTACAAAAGCAGATCGTTATGATATTTTATTATATCACGGATTATTGTGTTATGTGAGTAATTACATTTTATGTGAATAATTACACTTGTTGTTAACGAAGTCGTAATATATATATTATATATAATACATGTTTCTCTCTATACGTAAAGCTACGCAAATATATATGGTTTTATATATATGTATATGTATAGCAATACGTACCCACGTGCGTTATGTCGATATCATTTTCACAATGTTGTATCGCTCTTTCCCTCCCCAATTCTTTTTTAAAGATCCACATATAAGGCTCGTTTTGAAAATCTAATGTAAGGCCCCACCCGTTGTGTTTTATAGTTTATAATAATAACACGGATTGTTCAAGTTTCTCTCCTAATTTCAGCAATCGTCAAGATCTACGAGACGATCGACACGATTTATATCGAGAGTAAATTGCTGAGTGCAATACTTGTGTTGTGTACAGTGAATGAAATGTCTTCGTCTAATTTATCGTCGACGAGAATATTTAACTAATATAGATATTAGAGAGAATGACATTTTTAATAACAATAATAAAAAAAAGAAACTTCCGTCGCAAACTCTCCGAACTCGCCCGAAGAGCCGAACGAATTGAGAAAGTGGCGCCGATTAATTACGGGACACTGTGTATAACCGTGTGGAATTGCAGGCGATTCGAAGGCAAGGATCGTTCGTTTCTCTAACTTATGGATTAATTAATGAATTAATTAATGTCCACCCGACTTCGGTATATAATCGCTCTCTATTCTTGCTAGGTTATCTTTTAACATCTTAGAGAAATGGCGAAAAAAATTCTGAACCTACGTGAGGAGAAAAAAAAATACACCTTCGTGTATCGTCCCTCGGTAGGATATGTACTCTTCGCCGTTTGCTCACGAGTTGTACAATGATTGAAATAGTTTTTGAATGGCGGACCAGCTGGCATAGCAATTTAGAGATTTAGACGCGAAGACGAAGAAATGTACCTATTATTTTTGTACTTAGTTTTAATAAAGGTTTATATGCTTTTTTATAAAAAAAGACAATGAAGAGACGCATGTGACGCCTGATGTTTAATTCGACTGCATTCGAAATGTCTTCGACTTCTAACTAAATAATCGAGAAATTAAGAGTATCAGTATTTTTATACTTCATCATTGAATTTTCATGGATAAATACTTGATTATAAAATTTTCGGAACAATCAAAACAAAATAGTTTTAGAATCTTCATATTTTTGTTCTTATCGAATAAATTTTCGTGAACAAATGAGTGAATCGATAAAATGAATTAAACGAACAATGACTAGATATGATGCAAACATTTTTATTTATATCAAAGAAATTGTTCGCGTCAGATATCGAGTGCTTTTAGAATATTTTGTGCTTCCCCTATAATTTAATTAAGTCAATAGATAATAATCAAACTTAGAGGATGCAATTTCACCGTTATATTTCTCGAGCAATAAACGATTATATCAACAATTAGCATAATAGCAAAGTTGACTCACCGAACTGCAATCAACCGCATCACCGAGGTTTCCCGGATCAGCTCGTCCCCAGAGGTTATCCTCTTCTCCTCGGAACTGGAAACAGCAATAACGATTATATCAACAAATTTCTATTTATATCAAAGAAATTGTTCGCGTCAGATACCCTCGAGTGCTTTAATTAGAATATTTTGTGCTTCCCCTGTACTATAATTTAATTAAGTCGATAGATAATAACCAAACTTGGGGGATGCAATTTCACCGTTATATCTCTCGAGCAATAAACGATTATGTCAACAATTAGCATAATAGCCAAGTTGACTCACCGAACTGCAATCAGCCGCATCACCGAGGTGTCCCGGATCGGCTCGTCCCCAGGTGATCCTCTTCTCCTCGGAACTGGAAACAGCTCGAAGAAGATACACTCGCGCACACGATCGATTAACAACCCGATTTTGTACATACTCTCAAGCACAATTTTTACTCCTTTCTCCCTTCAACGTGAATGATTCACGAAAAACACAACAATCGCGGACCGCCCCCGCCCGCCTCCGCCGTTCGCGCGTAATGGCGGACCGCTGGTGCTACCTGGCGGCGAGAGATTCAAACACGACGATACTTGGGTGATTGTTTATCGCAAAATTCGAAGTATTTCGAGTACTTCGGCATCACCGACAAGTCATTGTGATTAAAATAATGACTGGCAATAGAATACGCACTCGGCGCAGCTGATAAATAACAGTGATTTTAGCGGCGTGTGCGTATCTGCAGGCGTGCGCTTGGTCGCGCTTTCCGAAAGAAAAGCTCGAAGAGCGCGTGAAGCGCAGAGAGTTCCGATTTCGGGAAGAATTATGAGCCCCCATCAATGAAATCCGCGTACTGTCACGACCGTACGTGATATATCGCGATACGCGCGATCTGTCGCTTCACGAGAGACGACTCACGCGACACTTTTCGCGCGTGAGAATCGCGCGCGGACAGTAACGATCGCGAGAAACGCGGAGCGATTGAAACGCGATCCGCCATACCGCAATTGGCGCGACTGAATGAAGTTGGCCGCACGCAGCCGCCGCACAGGCCGCACTCCGCAGGGCGGCCGCGCGATTTTCGAAATATCGAAACTATCGAAATTACTCTTCAATCGCAGCAATCATTTAATCTGGAATTAAAATTCGAAATTGTATCCATCAGTGGAATATGCCAGAAGTATGATCAGAGTAATAAATCGTAATAATTTGCACCAAAAATATATCACACGTTAACAATAATATTGAAGCGCAACGAAACTCGAAATTTAACTTATCGTTATTTAAATGTAAAAAATAATCGCGTAATAACATCGAACATTTGAAACGTTCAAGACTGCAATGTAATAATTTAATCACCAAGATTCGTTAAGATAATTCTTTTTGTGGGAGGTGAGATATATTTGTGGCTTTTAGCATTTAAAATAATTTATTTATCAATATGAACAAGGTGTTATGCAGTAGACATTATCGACGAATCACGGCCAATTGTCGTTATTAACAATCAATCACATTCACGATTACAATGCACGTGCTCGCACGAGTTTTACTTTCGTAGATTCACGTGTAAATTATTGCGTATTAATGTTAACAAGAACACATGTACTACTATGCATCGTCGATAATCCATCCGAAAAGCTAGAATACAAAATATCTCTCGAATTTCGTTTATATTTGCAAATCCAATTAGATCCGCGCATTTAAAAAATACCATTCGTGAAATCACGAGAAATTCCCACTCATAGTCTAATGTACAGAATAAGTCGATAGAAAACAGAATTGTTGAACGGTTTCCTTAAAAAAAAATTCTTTTTTAAAGAACGTTTTGCTTCCATGACTCATTCTGCATAATTTGCGACAAAATCATTTACGGTACATGGAAAACCGTTCTTCATTTATATTATCGCGATTTGATTTCATTATTTGTAACAAGTTTCATTAGCATGACTTTTTTATATAATAATCCTGTCAATCTGCTACAATTTTCTGTAATTAGATAAATAGAAAAAATAAAGGCTATATATAGCGATGTGTTTTTCCGTTTTCGAGATTTTGATTAGATATGCCTTTTGGCGGATTGAATATTTCGAATGACTCGCATTAATTAAATCTGCATAGTAGGTGAGAAGTTCCGTTAAGTATACAGTGTAAAATATTGTCAGTGGACGGGTCATAAATCGTTGAAGACTGTTGCTTTTGGCAGCTCAATTAGATTGATTCAGGACACCGGTAATACGCAATGAAACTCCGAGTGTCAAAAATTATGAATATTTGCAGAGATATAAGTGCATACAGAAAGATTTAAATTGACTTAATACATTGCTCTAACAACGAAAGAAAAAAAAAGAACTATCGACAAATGTATATCGCGCGACGATGAAAATTATAGGGGAAACCATGTCGTAAATTTCTCTTTTTCGCAATTTCATCCAAAATTAGGTTTCTCTCGCGGCACGCATAAATAATCAGCTCCGATTCGAGCCCCAAATATATTTTATTGTATTTACAAATCACAATTATATTTATTAATTATAAAAAAATTCCAAAAGGCATTTCATTGTTTGGAAAACAGATCGTCTTGAGTACCCGTTCTTTAGTACAGAGTATAAAAATCGCGTGGGACACTTTGCGTTGGGGATGTCCTGAAAGTGGCCCGGAGAAAGGCGATCCTGCGAGGGAAAAGGCGTGGAGAATGGCGTGCAAGAAAAATATATTTTTTTTTTATTGGATAGAGAATAGGTAGGATAGTACTTGGACGATCGTGCTCGCGGCCGATTGAGCGAAGTATCGAATGACTTGAATCGGATCCGACATGCACGGATACGTCGTCATTTGGCCCGCTAAAGCGATTGCAATAGACGAACGCAGTAATAATATAGCGCGGTATCAGCACTTTGTATCGCGCGGAGGAGACGCACGAATTTCGCGCGGTTTCGAACTCTAAGAGAGCATCTTATCCTCGGGGATGGTCGGGCTGGTGACCGACGGTGCCGCGGACGAGCGCCTCATTGCCTCGGACTCCCGAAGAGCCTCGTCGAAGCTCTGCGTCGAACCGGATCTCGAAGGCACGACTTTCGTCTGCGAAAAGAGAAAAAAAAAGGTTTGAAATTATTGAATAAAATGTCAAAAAAAAAAAAAATCACGATTTTATAAATTAGTAATTCAAAAGCACACAAATTTTTTCCAATATGCAATAAAATTTAAGCTATTTTATTTGATTCATCTAGTTTGTGATATAAAATATTGGAAATTTCAAAGCGCACGCGTTCAACATGTCTAGCAAATTATAAAATAGTTCATTTGAAGATTAATTTAATACGAATATTTTATTTAGTAAAATGAATCCGATTTAACTTTAGTTACCTTGATGTTCTCGCAGGCAGATCCAACCCTTTCCTCCAGCGATCGGAAGCTGTCGGAATTACGCATCTGACCCAATTTCATGGTAATGCCACTACCAAAACCACCCAAAATACTCGTCGTCTTCTCAGCCGTAGACTTGAGTACAGACTCTGTTTTTTGGTATCTAATACGACAAAAAAGCGAATATTTATTATTAAAACAGTAAAAGTTACTAATCTTTAATATAGATTCTCCATAAAAACTACATGAATTAATTTTTAATTCAACATAAAGCTCTTAGATATTAGATAAAGTCAGTGTTTGCTGTGTTAAATTTTGTTTAAGCGAGTATAGCAGCGATTCGTCGGTGATTAAAATTATGAAAATTAAGATGCCAACAAATACAAGTTGTCTCCAAAGCAAATTTGCCAAATTTTTTGTTTGTTTCAAAGATGAATATACTGCCAAAGTTTGATGACCTGTTTCAAAGACACTCTATAAACGTCTATTGTTAATACAACACAAAATACTGTTACAAAACGTGGATCGCGAGGCGGGGGGGAAATGAGACACTGTGCGTACTTACAAACTGTTCGCGGAGATTGTCCTGGTTAAACGACCGAATGTCTCGCCGACGTTCTGATAACTGAATGAGAACCCAACCAAAAGTGAAAAAAATCAATGCTTCTACGTGTATCTGAAGAGTAGAAGTGGAGTATCGACATAGAAAAAAAGTGATTCCTGCCGTCGCTTCGTAAGGAATGAAAACGAAGAGACGAGAAATGAAAAAGACGAATGAAAATCAGAAAAATAAAAACATGAGTTTTGGAAAACGCGGTTCTCGTTTTTCGAAGATCGTTAAATATTTTGTTAACATGCGATGAAATATTTCGCAAGTTTAAAGGTGATCCTGTTATGAAATTTACTTATCCACTTCTCCTTCATACATAAAATGTGGCAGATTGCAGAGAGTATGTGTAGAGTATATGTGTTATATATACAGAATATATGTACAGAGACATGCGAAAAAAGCGAAGCTATAGCAGCATACGTACACGTGGCTTTCCTTAACATTCTTGATACCCTGATTGACATCGTCGGTGAGCTCCTTCCAGACGCTAATGCCAAGCTTCCTCTTCAGATCCTGCGAAACCTTGATCTTGTTGGCGAGAACGTGTCTCAGAGTATTTATTTCTTCTTCAATCTGAAATAAAATTCCATTATTTTCCGTTCTCGGGTCTTTCCTTGGGTCTTTTCGTTGAGACCTACCTTTGTTAATTCAGCGCTCCATTTGGCCCTTTGCTGTTCCTGTTCCTCTAAGGAAAGTCCTTGAAGCTCGTTCGCCATGTTATCCGATGACGGCGACAGAGAGCCGGCCGAGTGGAGCGAGGCGTCTTCACCTGGAACAAAAGGGAAGGAAGAAAATTAATCGTGAGGCATACGATAGCATGACGGTCACGCTGACTGCTCGGAGGATCACTTTTCTCACTAGCAGGTTACAATTTAATATGGATTATTATGTTACATGTGGAAAGATAACGTTTATATTCTACCTAAATTATAATAATTCTCTGTAGAACAAGTAAAATAAAAGAATTATTACGATATCAAGTTAAAAATTAAAATTAAAAATTAAAACTCGAGATTACAACACTAAAATCAGAAATTAAAATCAAATACATAATTAAATTAGGCAGAAGGATACCTTATCATGTCTAGGTTTTCAAAGTAAATAAAATTTATCTAATGATTGTGTGTTTTGATCTACAAAATACGAACATGAAAAGAGAAATGCGATCGATTGTAATTTATAAATTATTCTTAGAGAATTGCTTAAGTTTTCAACGAACAATTCCAATTGTTTCGTTAATTTCGTCAGATTGCGGAGGAATGCGCAGAGTTCTGCAGTTTCAACAGAGCGAAACATCGTCCTAGAAAAATTAAAAGTATGTTTTCACGTCGCCGTACTCGATAGCGATTCTATGATCCTTTTTCGTATACTTTCACGTGTCAAGAAGAAATAAATCAACGAGAAGTTGCTAGACGTAACCGCGAAATTTCTCACGTGAAAGTACACAATTATTATGTTAGAAATTAAATGTCTCTATGCAAATTTAAGCACTTGCGAATCTAGAAATTTATTTAATATTTTGATATCAATATTTTTGAGACCCCCCTAAACAACATCATCAAACGATTTAAACTTGATAACCACTTTGATTAAAGTTAAAAGTTAAAAAATAACATTTTGTCGCCTATTTTTATTTCTTATTCAATATGAAATTCGTTCACTTTTAATTGTTAAATTTTTTAAACAATAAATCCATCGTAATATTTCATTAATACTTTGAAAACACTATCATTATTCACGAATGAATAATTTGACAATCGCCCCGATTTCCTTAAGAAATTTAGCAAAATCCGTAACGACTTCTTTATCGTAAATTACGAATGTAAAAGCGGCGAAGCGATTTCTCTTCTCTTCCCTCAGCACCTTTTATTAACTCGAGGAATTTCTTGTAGTTCTGACTGTTGCTGATCTTGGCGAGGTAGGGTTTGGAGAAGTCCTGGAAGATCACGCGAATCGATCGCTTCTTCTTTTTCTTGCGGCCGTCATGTGACTCTCCCTGCAGGAATTCCGTCTCGACAGACAGGTTGCCGTCGTCCACAACGATCTCGTCGATCTCGCCGTTGGAGTCGCGCCAGCAGTGGACCACTAGCTCGTCCACCTCTTCGTCGTCGAGTTCGTCGATGTCGTCGAAACTCGGTGTCGTTGTCAGCTTTGAGTAATATGCATCCTCCTCGTATTCTAGCGATTCGAATTCACGTTCGTTCTCGCTTGGACAATTCTCTTCGCTATGCTCCTGGCAAACTTTCCCGCGCGATTGGGTAGTTGCTGGATTTACAGATTGTTCAGGATTCGCCATGTTGTTTTTCATGGTCCTCCTCCGGGAGATTCGAAAGCTTATCTCAAAATTCGATTCCAAGCTCTTGATTCGATACGTGCCACAAAAGTTTGATGAGGAAGATAAATTTCAAAATAGAGTACTCCAGTACTGATTTTCGTAATTTTCTTTAAGATAAACTTTTCGTTTAAATTCTCTATAATTTTCAAGAAGAATATGAGTCAAAAAGTTTGTTGAAAGTTTCAGAAATAATAACTAATGTCTCTAAATCTACAAATTAGAAACAACTGCTTTCTTTAGTTCTCATGAAAATCATATGGCTATTAAAATTATTGTTTTAATTAAAAATTTAATTAAAAATTATTGAACAAAAAAAGATCTTCGATTGAAGGATCTATAGATTTGACATCATGTTGTTCTTCAGTCTCTTTTAACATTATTTATCAGCTAGCTAGTTCGATATCTTGCTTTCTCTTCAAAATCTTGCTTTAAAAAATTAACTTCAAAGTTGACTTTCTACTGCAAAATTATTTTGCTTCAGTATTCTCTTTAGAGATATATATCTTATAAGTAAAGGTTCATCTGTGATTTTTAGCATATGTTGCATTGATTTTAATATTGCATATGTTGTATCAATCACAATAAAATATCAACATAATCCAATATTAAAAATAAAGAAGTTACCATCGAGAATTAAAAATTACAGAGGCGTGTCTCTTCTCACACAATCTCGACGGAAATTGAGAGATTCGATGGTTATCACAATCAATTTACAATATATTTAATCGCTCACGTCTCACTGAGAACCAGCAAAGATATTTGCAAATCACGCAGAAGCAATAACTTAAAAGTTTGCGCGATCAGATTTCCTTCCAACGGGATCGATTTCCAGATCTACGTCGCGATGCATGATTTAACGACTAATGTAATCCGTGCATTTGTGATGGTTCACAAAACGCGACCACGTGGACTAACGTGTACACACGACTAACAGCTGTGCTGCCTTGAGAATGACGCCGATGTTGCCGATCGCGAAGACACCACCACGTTGCGGAGAAATCGAAACGCTGCTCTCGCTCTACCTTAGCAGGAAACAAGGAGAGGGCGAGAGGAAGGGGGGAGACGAATAGAGGGAGAGGGAGAAGAAAAGGAAGGAAAGGAGGGAATAGACAGGTGGCCTTGGCTCTCCATCGAGGAATAGAACTTGATATTGTGTGATTCTATGTAATTCTATGGATTGGAAATTCACAATCAAAAAGAATAAGAGAAAAAAAAGAAAAAATAGAATTCCAGTGTCAGCTTTTAAACGAATTCGCCGCACAAATAAAGAAATATATATATTATTACTATTATTATTAATTAATTAATTTAGCCGAAACGACATCACAATACAGTCATGCTGCTCGATTCTAATTATGATTTTCTCTACGATATATATTCCCGTGCAGCTGTACCGAGTGAGATTTGTTTGAAACTTTACACGTTAATTAAGAGACTCTCGCTAATTCTTGCTAAGCCTTTTACGTCCAATATCTGTTCTCTACGGGGTGTCTTAAAATTACTCCGGTACTCGCGGCGGATTTTAATCCTTTCGCTGCCGTGCGTTTCCGTTCGTTCTATTTAAGTTATTGCGGCGGGCATAAAACAGAAAAAGTAGGCTAAAGATAGTCGTAAAGGGAAAGAGAGAGAAACTAGGCCCGATCCGGCGCTCTGATTGGTTCATCGACCTCCTCGACGGAGTGCTCCGCTTGTTTTTGCGATCGATGATGAAAGCGCGGAAGCGTGGCGAAGATGTATAATAAAAGTTCTTGGAACTTCGCGGAAACCTTCGGCAAACCGGTTTCTATCGATCCGACTCGACGGCAGATTCTTGCCCATACTTAGTGACGTGTGTTTATCGCTAAAAGCGGCCGTCTGAATCGCATTTAACTCAAACATCAGATTGAAACGGAAAGAGAAATAAGAGTCTTGAGAAATCGATTTGTAATTTTAGCACCGATTTAACGAACGTTTAATCTAAAATGTCCCCTCTCTTAATACGTTCCATTAAACTTCCTGTTTATTGCGCTCCATGTTTATTTAATTAATTTTTCATTATTTTGAGCTGTAGAAGCTTTAAATAAGTTATTTGCTTTCTTTCGTTTGTTTATCTTCATCTTCATCTTAATATTTTCCCCTGTAGACTACCAGCTCTCATAAATTATCAAATGTGTATTTTCCATCTGAAATTTAGAAAAGTGTTTTTGCAATATATAAAGTTTCGTATGAATCTAATTGAGAATATTGTCAAGAAACATAAACTGAGTTCAATTCTCCCAGCGAAGTAAATGAACAAAGTAGAATGTAGAGAATTGACCTTGATTGGTGCAGCTGTACCCGCATTACAGTTACAATTTAATCATGTTGTGTCAATTGCTCCCTACACATTTCTTTCTCTCTTCTGTTTCTGTAAAAGTCTTACAAAAATCATGCGGAATTTTTGACCATGACAATATTACAATTAACAATTTTTTTGGCGGTTTCCACCTGTAAATTACGTTTTCAATATTTGGAAATTGATGTTGAAACTAAAAAGTTCGAATGAGGTCTTTTTATTTATTAACGAAGTCGCGCATTGTTATCTATTTTACGTCGAAATCTTTTCTTCAAGAACGAAACGTTAACGAATGCAACGCAAAAATAGTGCGATAAATACCGACTCGACAGGAATTCCGTGCCGGTTAGCACACGTACGTGCGCGTAAACACGCGTACACAGAGGCACGAGCGAGTTCACAAGGTCGTTGCTGGAAACGTCAAGATAAGCGGGTGACGCATAACTGTAGGTTAGAACTCGATCGAATTCCAGTTATTGCAGCGTCCCCCTTAAACTGGAACTTTCGCCGGCTAATTCTCGAACGAAGATTAACAATGCGTCTTGCTTAATCATCAAGCGGCTACACGAATAATTCCTCGATCGCGAGCTGATGACGAAGTCGATGATCTCACCTGTTGGTATGTTAACGTTGCTCATCTTGACGGTCTCGCGGTGCGAAGTTGGCGAAGAATGACGATTTCCGTCGACCGTGCGGAAAGGATCGGCGTGTCTCGAGGTCACAGATCGGTTCACCAGGAAGCGAAAAGCAACATACGTTCTCCGATACCGTGAACAAATCAATCGGTTCCGTCCTGACGGTGAACTGGCTAAGCGCCGGCGGCCATATTGGATACGCGGCTGCCAGTGGCGGCGCGTAGCGAGCGCCCGGTAAAACCTCGAGTGACTCGACGTAGGATAATAAATTCACTCGAACTTTACTTAGCGGAGACTCGAACCCCACTTAGCGAAGATTCGAACCTCACTTAACGGATATTTATATTTTATTTTATTGATTATTCTCCTGCACTTATATAGCGTGCGCGCATTCAAACCCACTTAGCGGAGACTCAAACTCCACTTAGACTTTATTATCTAACTTATTATAATTATATAATTATAACTATAATTTTTATAACTATTTTGTTATTAAAACATAAATATAAAAATATAAAGTTTATATAAATCTAAGATTTTACGCAATGTTAAATTGACGATTATAAATTTATTATCTAATATATATAAGTTATTTAAAATATTAAAAAAATGTAAATGAGATATTTATTCTGTTCTTCAAAATTTACAATTTACAATCATATGGATTAGCGATTAATTGATTCAAATTTCTGATTTTCTTTTTTAAATTTCTTTTAATTAGCAAGTTAATTTCTACGTGAAAAAATCAAGTTGCCGGGCTTTCAAATAAGCTGTGAAATAGATATGGGATAAGAACTCTTTTTTAACAACATTTATTTCTAATATGGCTATATTGTCTATGTACAGATTACACATCGCCATAATCTATATGCAACGCAAACACAATGAATACCTACATACTACGTGCGCGATTTTTAACAATAATAAGGTCCTCAGAGGTGATCCGGGTGATTATCACCGCGTAGGGTATAGGTACGTATGATATCGTCAATGTATAAATCATCCGCGTCGTCGTTTTTCTCTTATGGAAGCATTATAGAAATTCTATCGGGTGTCAGATATGTGTACTCATTTATATCATAAACTCGTTCGCGGAAGTTATAATGCGTTCGAAGGCTGGCGCGCTTCCGCGCGCTTATCAATCGAGATTCGAGTTATCGTTCGCAAACTCGGGCTGAAACAGCGCACGCTTATACGATCGACTCGACGGACCGGTGAGCTATTATAATTCGAGGATCTGAATTCTAAATCATATCGAATTCCAAAAAAGAACCCCCTCCAACGAATATCCTGACTCCAAAATTATAAGTTTTCGCGAAAGAAAAGCCTTAACCGCCTTAATTTTCTTTCCATTTTATCTTCCACCTTTCGTTTCCGAAAATACCTTTTCAAAAATTCATCTCTCAATTGCTACTTCTTGTTTTTTGGTGGTGAAAGGAAATTTCGATGGATCGATTGATTAAAAAAGAACGTTTTTGGCTTATTTCACAGCATGGTTTAGATGTTTTTCCACGGTTTAAAACACATTTGGCTCTTTGAGAACCTCAAATTATTGTCGTCCTTACCTAAATTAAGCCTGTCAACGCACACACGACACGCAACATATTTGTCTGATGGTTAATTTGCCCTAGGAAGCATCTATCGCGCAAAAGATACATCTACCAGGAAGCAATAACGTAGTTTACTCCGCAAACATATATTGGATCCCTTGCGCCTTTTAACTCGCGGGGTTTTTCGATCTTTTCCTGAAGTTTTATTTCTCCCATTCTCTATTTATCGTGGAGCGTAGCTCATATTTTCATCAGATTCTTCTCGAATTCTCTTAAGTTTGTGAATCTTAGAATTCTTGGCACCAAAATTTGCGGATCCCGTTTCTTTTTAACATAGTGTCTCGCAAAATGGCATCTCTGAAATTCGGCGATTTTTTCCAGATTGGAAATCGAAAATAACGTACAAATTAGTTTACGGTAAATAATTATTGCTCGATTGGTACATACAAAGCTGTCGCAAAAAGTCGTTCGGCCCGTCTGACTTTGGTACAGATGTATTATACAATCGCTGTCTATTTACATGAAAATCTATGAAAACTCCTGCTCAAAGAGTCCGATAGAATTACACAAAAGAAAATCGATCGTATTTTTTATTCGCATAGTATCAGAGTCTTGTCTTGTATCTGATATACTATATCTTTATCATCCGCTATCTTGTTTTCACCGTTAAAAAATTATTCATTTTCATCGATCTAAATTTCAGATTGCATTTCTCAATCGATAAGATACAAGATTTCCTCTACATTTCTATTACGTATAGTTTTGATATAAATATACAAGAATATTCTCGGATTGAACTAAATCCGATTCTCGTATTAATGAGTCGAAACGTAACTTGATTGAATTGACAGATTGATAGAAAAGCGTATACTGCGCGGATAAATATTTGATAGTTTAACTGAGAAACCTAGACTGAAACGATAGTCTGCGTTGAAATTGTACATAGAGTATCTCCTGAATTATGTCGGGAACAAAATCCCGATGTTATAGGAACATCCTATATAAATTTCAAAGCAAAGTTCCATCGTTTTTTACTGGCTTCTTCAAGCAGGTATACTATGAAAGAATCGCCTTTCTGGTCATCCAACTTGGCCCTTTATAAAAATAGTGTCGGAAACAGGAAGCGCGAACCAATGACATAATCGAACGCGTTCGAGAACTATTAATTCTGATTTTCCATTGGCTCTCGAATAATATTCGCTTGTATCTTCGATTCGCTCTCTTCCCGCGTCGAAGAGCGTGGGACGAAGTTCCCAGCAACTCGTCGAGCTCCAATTTTTGCGCTCGAAGAATCTCGTACGCAAGATCTGCTTTTTAATTACTTTACACAAAGACATCGATCTCTATAATGGCGTCTATTACCAATCTACGCACCTCTTCTCTTGGGCAATTTATTTGTAATTTTGCACTAACGACGCCCAGTTGTTGATCTTCGTGGGCGCCGGTCGGATTAATGGAAGCTAACGAACTCCGTCTTCATTAAAAGATGTCCTCGACATCGGTGAAATTACGGTCCCAATATCCACCCTGATATATCCAATCCTCTTGGCCCGTGTAAGGATTTGTACCCCCTTGGAACCACCTGTGCATTTATTTTGTTTTAATTATGGTAATTATTTTTCTTAAATTAATCACGTTAAGAAAGAAATAATCTGAGATTATTGATCTCTAACCGTGATTTTAATTTTGAATTTATTATTAAATATTATAATATAGAATTCTATTTAAATTAGTCCTACTTTTTAAAAGCTTCAGATTAATACTAGGAAAATAGCTAATTTAATATTTGGTTTTTAAAAAAAAGATTATTTATTTTTAACACACTTCAATCTCGAGTTTTTGGAAGTTTCTCGGAAATGTAATTCTTGAAAGTTTTAAATTGAACTTCTAATTTCTTAATTGTTAAATATATTATTTCAAAATAAAATACGGAATTATACCTGGGAACATATTCGTTTCCTTTTTTCTGCTTGCGCGCTTTGCGGCAATTTCTCTGCTTTTCCTCCAACCTAGTTTTTTCAGACGCAGCTCCATCCTGATCGCCGTTCTCCAGCTTGCGAATATCAGGTCTCAATCTGGAGTCGGTCGGGCATAGGATTTTTTTCATATCAGGCTCTAATTCGTTTAGCGACATCGCGAACGTCGTAAACTGATAATACTGTAAATCACAATGACAATATCTTTGCATTATCAAACCGATACATGTCGAGGCATATTATTTTTATAAAATTGATAGATCAAAAGATATAAATCTATTGTAAGAAAGAATAAAGAATAACGTGAGAAATATTTTTATAATAGAATAATAAAAATCTGAATTATATTGTTGAAACATATATTATATTTTTAGAAATTGAATTGAGTTTTGCAAAAAATTAATCAAAATGTTCAAAGTATTATTTCGACTAACATCCGAACTATTGCTGGGCCTCGGTGTGACTTCCCACAGTGTGACAGATCCTGGAATCTCGTCCACGATCGGAATGTCATCAACGACTGCACTGCCGAAAGGCTCGTCTATCGCATCCTATAAATAAGAAAAATATTTGTTCTACATTAAAGAAGTTATTAAAAAAAAAATGAATCAATTTGTTCAGCGAAAACTGTTTAATACCTGATGCAAGGGCTTGAAAGCTCCAACTTTGAGACTGTGGAGCTTTGCCAGGACTTTTTTGTGTCCTGGACTACCCTGCGGGCTTTTGGCCTCCAGTTTAATCTTCTCCAGTGTTTCTTCGTACAACGAGGGTTCGCAGGATCGTAAAATGTCGGTCCATTGGCCATAAAGGAAGAGTAATTTCCTTTTTCTAAAAGAATATAGAGAAACAATATGCTTTGTTTTATTTTAATTTAAAGTAAAATAGATTATTTATAATACAAATGTAATTTTTTCTGTCTGCCTTGCTAATCTAATTGCATTAATTAAAACTTACTCTTGATTCGTTATGAATCCCTCGACGCGATGAACATCCTTGCCGTTCAGGGTGCTTTTAACAAAGCATAATTTAACTCTCAAATTATCTCCTCCGTGCTGTCTGATCTCGAGAGGACCTGATTGCTCCATCCACAATTGGCCCACCAAGACATTGTGAAGAATGCAATTGACATTTTGCCAAGTGTAGGACTCCTTCCATCTATTCAAGCACAAGCATCGATACATCTCATCTTTCAAATGTTTTGAATTTCCAATAATTCTCTGTGTTTTTTTAATTTTTAATGGTAATCAACTAACATAAACGTTCAAGTTAGTAGATTATCATGTAAAATATTTTTTATTTTTAGTATTTAGTAATAATTAATTCAGATGGATATTTTTTGACAAAATTAGGAGATAATAATGACAACATGTAATTAATGTTAGATAAAGTAAATAACTATTTTATAGTATATAAATTAATTTATGATTGTAATTATGAGCGTACTTGGGTAATTCGACCGTGACAACTCCTTTCGGATGCACCTCCAACGATTTCCCCCAAAATTTCAATTTGGGATGGATGCTGCCATGAAAGATAAAATCTTCGCTGTCAGAGAAGAACGCGGACACAGGTGGATGATGCGAAACCTGCTCGCATATTATCCTGAAGAAGATTTGAAGAAGAAATAATTTTTTTCAGTATAAAAGAAGAAATGGTCACAAATTAGCAGAAAAAATAATTTTGAACGGTAAGCCAATTTGTACTAGAAGTTAAACTATAATGAATTAATAAGTACGATCTGTAAAACAATTAATTACCGGAAATCCTCGCGTTGCAACTCGTACGTTTCGCCCAAAATTGGATTGAAAGGTTTCCCAAAGCGCTCCCAGTTCGAAGCGAGGGCACTCACAGCGAAAGCCGCGACATACTGCGTAATCATTAATTTCATTTATTAATAGTGTCGGATTATTGATTTATCATCCCGATTAAATTTAAAAGCAATTCCACACGCACCTGAAGCCTTAAGATCGGCGACTCCTGCTGGGATGCCTGTTTAAGCAATACAGCGTATTCCATATATTCCGCGACGCGCTGCAGAAAAGAGAGGGGCTCGTTGAAAATGACCGGCATACTGGTCTTGCTGATGTCTTTGCCCAGTTGGAGCGTCATTGAGCAGAGATTTACTTCGGAGTGACCCGGAACTGGTAACGATGTTCTTGAAAAGTAAAACGCGTTTCAATAAAAATTGGGGAAAAGAAGATTTTTTTTAAAGCTATATAAATGGGTGTAATTTTAGTTTGTACGAATTTAAAAAAAAATGAGAAAGGAATTTTCAGATTCGTAAATCTTTGAATATTTGCACTTTTCAATACGACTGAAAATTCGAAGCTCTCCGCGAACTTATAGATTCCTAAAAAATAAAAAATAAAAAAATAAAAATTTGTCGGAATTTATTACCAACCTGTAACGTTCCGGTATCCTTTCGTTGGCCATTGTAAGGGTCTCTCGTGACTATCGAGCGTCCCGACGACAGCAGGAGCTTTCAATATGTCTTTCTTGTGAGTAGTCGATACTTCGATTTTCACCAACATCGACCAGTAATTATGAAGCTTTATAATTTATTACTGAATATAAAAGAATTCGGATTATTTGACATTTTTCTATTGATTCTGAGAAATGTGATAGAAATTTTTGATACAAATCCTTGAATGCTTCAAAATTCACTAAAATTTAAGCAGATATAATTGGCAACTTTAAGATAGATTTGTAGTGCAGATCTTCCAGTCTTCAGATATTCAAAATCTTCGACGTTTAATCAGAAATCCAAAGCTTTATGTAAAATTCTCTGTTAGGTATTCAAAAATATCCATTTTAAACTCTAATTTGAAACTCTAAATTTGACAGTGCACGTATATATAGTGAGCCGGTTTTTTGGATTAGAGAGAGTTTGATATATTTAAATTCTCTAGAAAAATTATAATCTAAAATATTTAGTAGAATTCTTTGGAAGAGTTATTTCTATCAGCCAGAGAGGTATTTTAGATAGTTGGATCTTTGGTGAATCGTCGAATGCGAGTGAATCTTTCGATGTTCACAAACTCGGGGACCTTCCGATCTTCCGGGCGCAAGAAGGGGAAAGAGGGAGGCGCGGTATCCAAATGGACCGTCCGGTTCTCCAGAGAGAAAAAAGCTTTGTCTCGCTATCTCGGCGACATTCCGACAATTGTTCCGATCAGCTTCGAAGCCGCAGAGGTAATGCCACTCGCGCGGAGGATTCCTTGCGTTCGTTCGGCACTCGCTGTCACTCGCTCATGACGATCGCGAATTTTAGGAGAAAGATCGTCGAGACCGGAAACCCCACGACGCGGTTGGTTCAACCTCGTCTCACGATCAGCTGTACACTTGAGGACTGTTGAGCTTGCGGGTGTGACGGCGAGCTCCCCCTTTGCTTTTGAAGCAAATATCAATAAATCCGAGCATGACCGTTGAGCTCCCAAGGATTTCCGTTGGGACGACCGACCGATTCGTTTATAAGGAACAGCTACCGGGTTGAAATTTGCAAATTTAGGATCTTGACTTTTTAAAAGCAATTCCTTAAATATCAATAAAGTTTAAATGTAATTGATTTTTAATTTTTATATAATCTTTTTTAATATACAATCTTTTAATACAATCTTCTAATTTTTTTTTCCAAGTAAAACGCATAACAAAATAATAAATTAATTCTTCTTGCGTATTTTGCTACTTTAAAAATAATATAAATTGTTTAAAAAATAAATAAAAGTTTTCTTTAATTTTTCAAAATTTAATTTGAAGAATTTAATTCATGGAAGATAAACTATTAATAAATATTCTTTTAAAAAGTGCTTTATATTAAAATAGATAAAAATTGTTTTGGATAGAGAGCGAAACAGATTTTTTGTGTAATTTTATTCTAACAGTCTTCTCCTTCAGTTTTAATTAATTCAATTAATACGTAATGTTCCAAGGACTGCATCATTATGATTTAACGTATATAGCTGTTATATATACACAAAAATCAATAAATGCGGAGGCGGAAGGGCAAAGTTTCTCTCAGCAACGTGAACGAACATGTAAAACACCCACGATTGAGGAAGACGTTGCATCACGCAATCAGGCGGTCTGCGTGGAAAATACGGGATGAATTTAATTAACGCATACCCCCATACGTATGCACTGTTGAGACCACAATGCTGCCCTCATCGCGTGCAACTCTCCCGATAAAATTGGCGCAAGACACGAAGAGCATTCACTAAAGGACCGTTGAGAATGCAAAGATCTTAACTGATAAAAGATACGCTTTTCATCGGTCGGACTGTATTCTGAAATCTAAAACTACATTTTCACGTTTATCAGTCCTTCTTGCTTGAATTCTAGTGCTTTGTCAAATTGATCTTTAATTGTTTAATTCATTTTACACTTTGGCATTTTGTAAAATTTTTTACTTCGAATTTCAGAGAACAATAATAAATCAAATTCGTGTGTTTTTTTTAATGCTACAATTTTTTAATTGGTTCAATTCTTGAATTTTTTTTACTTATAACCATAGAAGTATGGATTCTTGATTGTCAGATCGATAAATGGTAATCGTCGGAAGATTATTTTCTATCTTCATCGGCATTGTAAGACGAGTATTTTACGAGTATTGTAGAATACTGTTATCGTCTTACTGTCGTGCATGAAGAGTTCAGTGCTCCGTGAGCGCATCGTCGACGACTCGGAATAAGAATAAGCCAAATCTGTCTATTGATTCACTTGGAAACCAAATCGATATTCGTACGAGGCACAGGCGCTCACTTCGTTACGGATCGGCCAACTTTCCTCGAATCGTCCGTTGAGTTTGTCGTCCGTTTGACAAATCTGCTAAATTCTGCGGTCTCGGGAATAATTTTCGCCGAGAAAGGGTTACGTTTATTGAAAATATTGTGATGTTATAAAGAGTCTTCTACATGTGAAGAAAGTGCAGAGAAAAAAAATGACATTATTTTCATTTATGAATAAAAGCTTAGGTATAGTTTAACGACGAATTAATTTAATACAATCCAAATCAATTTGGAGAAATTTTTCAGTCAAAAAAAGTGCGTGAAAATATTTTTTTATCCGTTTAATAGAATTGAGATCGATATTTTAAATTGTTCTTAAAAAAGTGGCAGAAAGTTAACGTCAAATTTCGAGAATGAATAAGAAAGTCACGTCGTTGAAAGATGGGAACGTGGAAATTTCTAGAGGCTCTCACGATTCGAATGATCCTTCAAAGGAGGTGGAAGGGAAACCCGTGTTTCGCAAGTATCGCACGAAGCATATGAAGCTATTTCCGGAATTATATCGAAGCGATGTTTCAATTCATCCCAGTTACACCGACTTAAAAATCTTGCCTTAGTAAGAATCAATTCAATCGATCAATTATTGGAAATTTATTTGTAAATAAAGAAAGAATATATTTTTTATATCAAATTAAATTTTATTGTATCTATTATAAAGCTGTAATTTTATAAAATGAAACGTTCTGTAAAAGTTTATCGAGACTTTAAAGGTCACTAGCTGTTTAAAATAAAACTTGTTTACTTTTATATCGTTTATATAGTCTACAAGAATTACATCATTAATTGTATTTTATTTTAAGCCATGTGGTCTGCAGGCATCGCGTGCAAAGGATTAAGCGACAGTCATTTCGGCAGCTGAATCGCGAGATCGCGCATTTCGCTATGGTCCAGATGTTTGCTCTTGATGGTGTGAGAGTCGATCGCGTCTTCAGCGTCGGTATGTCGCCGAAGATGTTAATCGTGCCAGACCCGTTGACAGAGAAAGAGAGACGCCGGCTGAACGAGCTCATTCGAAATCATTAAGAAAAAATTTCGTATAATTTTGGTAGAAATAAAGTGTTTTATATGTTCTACTAATTATTATTCAATTATCTCTTCTTTTAATTATATAATTAACATTAAGCTGTAATAATTAGTTCTTATAATAAATTTTTAATCTTGTATAATTTTTATTCTTCTGTAATTATTACTAATAAATAATATGAACTTTTTGTGTTTTTAATCTATCAAATTATAATACAAAACATTTTATTTAAAAAACATACTTAGTTTTTATTTTATAAAAATCTTATTAGTAGATCAATGTTATAAAATTATTAAAATTTTTAAAAATTAAATACTTATTTTTTAAAAAGTTTGAAAAAAAAAACATTTATTTATTACTAAATGCATTTTCAATCACAATTTTTTTTCCAAAAGATGGGATGTTGGCAGTTAGTAAGAAACAAAGGAAAGAATCTAGTTTGATATTTGTCAAACTATAAAGGTTGAAAAAAAAATATTTTTATAAACAAATATATGCAATGTTTCGAAATACTTACCAGGGCGGATTTTTATCCATTTTGTATAGTTGCGGGTCATCTCCTCTGGAATTGTGGGACATGCACGTTAGTTTTTACTTTTAAAAAAACACTTTTCATATTTTCACATTTCACATTTCACATTTTCACATTTAAAAAAAGTATCGAGAGAGAAGAAATTTATATCGTCTTACAGCTTAATTTCTGAAATTGATACATATAGATTTAATTAAAAAAATTAAATTATAAAATTTTTAATAATAAGAATAACATGTATAATCAAAAGTATCTAAATTTATTGTATTGCATCACTCACATTTAATTAGGTAAAAAACGGATATATACGAAGAATCACAGATGAAGAGATAAAATCATTGGCATTGGAGATAGCCGGGACTAATGTGGCTACAACTTATATTTATTGCCCGGCAGATCCGAAGAAGGTGCTGGGTATTAAGTTGCCCTTTCTTATCATCATTATCAAGAACATGAAGAAGTATTTCACGTTCGAGATAACAGTAAAGCTCATGTGAATATGTACTTAATAAATAAGGCTTCCAATTAATTTCGTTTCTTAAATTAATAAGATTCGTCCTATTCCTTAGATGCAGACACTATATTGTTTACCTTAATAAATAAGAATTCCTTTTTTTCTTAAAAAAAAAAGAGATAATATGTGTCTTAAATAAAATTCTTAATTTTTATTATTTAAATAAGACTTTTAATTTTTGTTTCTTAAATAACTTTTATTTTTTAATTTTTCTTTTCCTTTTTTTAGACCTCTTTTCTTCCAATATATTTTATTTTCCTGTAGATTTATGACATACTATAATTTTGAAAGTTTAATATGAATAATAATGTATCAAATAGATACTGGACGATAAGAATATGCATAGGAGATTCCGCGTGAGCAATTTTCAGAGTACGACACGCGTTCGTCCGTTTAGTACGTCAACGCCCATCGGGCTTTCGGGTGGATGGAATCAGATTCAATTCAACTTGTGTGATTTTACACGACGGGCCTATGGCACAAATTACATTGAAACTACCAGAATGCAGATTCATGCCAACTGCAGAATCAGACGAATTTATTTCGCCGACAGGCAAGGATTTGATTAATTCTCTTACTCTCTGTCTCTCAATTAATTAATTAAATTTGTACAATAAGAAATTTAATTAATAATTCAATTTTGCATACAAATTTAATTAATTATTATCGATGAATCATAATATCATCTTATTTATTTGATTTCACTTAAATCTTAACGGATACCATATATAAATTTCATTAAATTTTTGGTTTTATGATAGATCAATATAAAAACATTTATTATTATAAGTATATGAAATAATCTTACAAGTTGTTAGTGGTTTTCTTTTTTTGGCAAAGTAGGTAAATTAAATGTTCGTAAAACAAATGTTATCTTTAGGCTTTATTCAGAGGACGAAATGCCGGAAGACTTCAAGCTTTTCTTTCCAGTGCACCTGAAGAAATGCGTTAGAGAGGAAGACGTGAAAAAGAAACCTAGCCTGGTTCCTGAGAAAGTACCGTTCATCAAAGAACCAACTATCGAACCGGAAGTGTTAGTGGAGGAGATCATTGAGCCGCCGACAATTACGAAGGAACCTGATTTAATTGAGGAAGTGTTACCAGAAGTGCCTCCGGAAGAAGTGGAACAGGTAATTGTAGAGAGAGATGAAGAGGAAAGAGAAGAGGAAAGAGAAGATGAAAGGGAAGAAGAAAGAGAAGAAGAGGAAGCTGAAGTTGAAGAAACTGTGGTTGACGAAGAGGAAGAAGAGGAACCTACAGACATTCGCGAAGATGAGGATGAAGAAGAAGCTATCGAAATGGGTGCGTAGAAATTGGAAGAAGGTTACACGGAAGATGAGGATGAATAAATAAAATATAATTTCATTAGCACAATAAATATAGCGTATCTTATATAATCTTGTGTTCTAGACTTTGTGTACATTCTTTTTGTACTGTTTTAACAAAGAACGGATTATTAGAAAATTAAGAGAATATTAATAATTAAAATGGGAAAACATACAGAATTTAAGTTACGACACATCGTAATCATCTTCCTCTCGCTTCCTCTTCAACGACTCGTCGGTCTCCATCTTCACGACCGGCAATGTCTGATTGGAAGTGATCTGTATCTTCGGCTTCGTTACTTGTGTCTTCACCGTTGTATTACTTGTTGTCGCTGCAAGTATTAACATAGATATTTAAAAAACCTCTCATTCATATTTAATTTTAATTAATTTCTTTTAATACAATTAAATTTAACATAATATTGAGTGAAAAATATATGGACTCTATAATATCAATTATAACTATGCATATATTTCACACAGTAATATATTAGAATCTTACTTGCGGGATTTCTAAAGGAAATATGGAATGGTATGGAGAAATGGGACTGCATGAGGTGAAATGGAGCTGAAATTGGAGATTAGAGAGAATTGGGCAGGTTATTTTATAGTGATTTTATAGTAAGATAAATTTAGCAATAAGGTGATTGCATACATTAGTAAGAAATTATTATAATTATAATAAATATCAAAAAACGATGCATTACCTGTGGAGAATTTCAAAACGGGTTTTGGTATAGAGATAGTTTGTGTTCTGGCGACGGTGGCAAGGGTGCCTGGCCTCTTGACAATTGATACAGCAGTCTTATTTCCCTCCACCTTCGGTCTCGGCTGTCCGCCGGATTGATTATTTCCTACCAGAGAATGCGCGGGCTTCTGAACGACCTTCTTCGTCGCATTTTTAAGCCTGTAATTCGTTGCGTTCAAGCAATATCGATCCGGCGGTAATCTGAGGCCGTTGTTCGGCTTGACAAAAGGCAGCGGAACGTTGTTCTTGGTACGCGCCACATCCAGTAGAACGTCCCGGGGCGGTGGATTCGTGAACGAACGCTCCAGCTGCATCTTGACCGCCAGCCTGACGTCGTCCAGATCGATAAACTTCTTTTTAGCGTGATTGGCGTATACTTTGCTGTCATCCAAAATACATGTGACATAACCTACAAGGAAATTCCATTTATCCAGGTAGTTTCTCGAGAGTTAAAATGGCAAAATGATCGAATGTAAAAATTGTCACAACAAAGTTATTGAAATAAGAGAAGAAAACTTACGGTACGTGAATTCCAACAGTTGATTGATCACTTTGGGTTCGTAATCTGTTATTCCCATATCCTTCATGATTGACATGATGACTTGAGCGTCTTTGGGAATATGTTTCACGTGGCTCATGTTTTTCGTTTTCTCCGACATCTCACGAAATTAAAACAACTCCTCACTGCGACCAACGTGAACTGTGCAAATGCCTTTTATGTACGCCTTTGCGTATGACGCCGTGATTGAAGCACCATGAAGCACTGATGATTGATCACTGAACTGAAACTTTTAAGGTTATATTTATGCTGTTGAAGTAACACACTTGGCCTAAGTCGCGCATGCGCGAGATTTGTCGAGGAGCTCCGATTTCCGCTTTAAATTTTAGTTCGTGGCGCGTCGCTGTAACGTCAGTAACGTGTCGTTGTATGTGTTTGTCGGGTCCGTCCTCCGGGAAATTCGCTATCACTCAATGAAAATCAGCAAGATGAATATCACTTCAGCAGGTGAATCGCCGAAATAATTTTCTGTACTCAAATCGAGTCGATCCTTGCGTCCATCGTGCGAGAATTCGTTCGTGTTCGCACGGATTTTCGCACAATGATTTGCATGTCGTGAGAGACTTAACCTCCTTTTTCGACAATTTCGAAGCATCCATTTTTGGATATTGAAGAGAGAAATAAAGAAATAAATTTTGCAGAAGTTTAACGAGCAACACAATGAGTTTACTGCATATTCTTTAACATTATTAAATATGATTTCGCAGAAATTTAACGACCAATACAAACAGTTTATTATACACTATTTAATATCATTAAATATAATATTATTGCTTATAATTTAATATTTAGTTATTAATTATTTTCATATGTCTATTATACGTAATATTAATTGTAATATGTTATGATTTTTTTGGTAATAATTTAACTTGAATGTAATTGAAATTATTGCAGCTGGTATTATTTCCTTATTGGAAGAGCCGATGCCTGAATTGAAGGTCTTCGCCTTGAAAAAGTTGGACATGATAGTCGACGAATTCTGGCCTGAGATTTCTGAGGCTATCGAGAAGATGTATGTAGGAAAAAAAACAATAAAATAATATATTTATTGCTGCTGATTTTATTTAGCATTATTGCTTCTTGCTTGTTAGAGTTCTTATTCTCTAAATGAGTTATTCTACTTGCAGTGAGATTCTGCACGAAGATAAATCGTTTCAACAACATGAGCTGGCTGCTCTAGTTGCCAGCAAAGTATATTACCATTTGGGGAGCTTTGAGGATTCGCTGACTTATGCCCTCGGAGCAGGAGAGCTGTTTGACGTCAATGCGCGAAATGAATATGTCGACACTACTATCGGTTGGTCATTATTATCAGTGGCATATACATCTTGATGATCTTTTAAGGTGTCTTAACTTTTAATTGTCAAATTTTCCAGCCAAGTGTATCGATTATTACACTCAACAACGTGTCTTGGAGGCGGAGGGAAAACTTCCACCAGGTAACAAAGGCATCGATCCCCGGCTGGAGGGAATAGTGAATCGAATGTTCCAACGTTGCCTGGATGACAATCAATACCGTCAGGCCTTAGGCCTCGCCCTGGAGACACGCAGGATGGACATATTCGAAGCTGCCATTATGCAGTCCGTAAGTAGTACTTTGCTACTAAATTTTTTATGATGTATATGTTAGTTTTATTATATAATTAGTTTACAATCACTTTCGACATTTTGCTCACATTCTTTAATTTTCTAACCAGCCTTTCATAAATTGAGATATAAATTGAGAATTAGAATTAAATCTGAGATCCATTAATTATTTTTACATGGAGCTACTTGATTTTGTTACTGATTTATACGTATTATATCATTTTATCATCTATATTTGTATCTAAAAATTTGTATTTATTTATAATTTAAGAAATAATTTTTTCGAGATTAAATTCAGATATGAAGATACCTTAATAATTATAAAGATGAAATTCCCTTCTTTCTTTCAGGACGACGTGAGTGGTATGTTATCTTATGCCTTCCAAGTGGTCATGAGCCTGATTCAGAATCGTGGATTTCGTAACACCGTACTCCGCCGCTTGGTCAGTCTCTATCGAAATCTCGGTACTCCCGACTACGTCAACATGTGCCAGTGTCTAATCTTCCTGGACGATCCGCTGGCCGTGGCCGAGCTTCTGGACCGTTTGAGCAAGGGTTCGCACGACTGCGTGCTGATGGCCTATCAGATCGCCTTCGACCTGTACGAGTCCGCAACCCAGCAGTTCCTCGGTCGCGTTCTGCAGGCTCTGCGAGCCACCGCGCCCATTCCGGGCGCGCTGATGGTTAAACCGGTAGTTAAACCGACTGCTGCCACCACCGCAAAAACCACCGAGTCTGCTAACACAGAGTCCACGAATATGGAGGTTGACGAGGAAACTGCTGCTCCCGCCGGAGAGGAAAAGGCTCAGCGCAGTGTCGAGAGCTTGGTGAGCGTTAGTCTCTTGATAAGTAATTACGTAATGTTAAAATGAAATTTTAATGTCATTAAATGTTGTGGACATTACGTTTTTTTTATTTAGCGTTTTCTGATACAATTGTATTATGTTGTTAAGTATATTAATATGATTCATGTTAATTTAGGATGTTTTGTGATATTTTTTTTCTAGAACGCGGAGGAGAGAGAACAGCAAGAGCGAGTGGATGCTCTGTCCAGTATTCTGGGTGGCGAGGTATCTATCGATTTGCATCTGCAGTTTCTGATTCGCAGCAATCACACCGACATGCTGATCTTGAAAAACACCAAGGATGCTATACGAGTCTCAATTTGCCACACTGCCACTGTTATTGCGAATGCTTTTATGCATTCCGGGACGACAAGCGATCAATTCTTGAGGTACACATCTATTTTTAAGCGTTAGTTTTAGCCGATTTTTTAAATTTTTGCTTTTATTTTTTTTTAATAGGAATAATATATAAAATATATGTCTTATAATGTTTTTAAATTTTTATTCATTATCTTTCAGGGATAATTTGGATTGGTTGGCTCGTGCCACTAATTGGGCGAAGCTGACTGCGACAGCTTCTTTGGGAGTTATTCATCGGGGTCATGAGCAAGAAGCTTTAGCCTTGATGCAGTCTTATTTGCCGAGAGATTCTGGTGCCGCCGGTGCCGGATACTCCGAAGGCGGTGGTTTATATGCTTTGGGACTTATACATGCTAATCACGGGGCTGCTATTACGGATTACCTCCTAGGCCAATTAAAAGATGCCCAAAACGAGGTATATAGTATTTAATAATTATTTCGAAATATTTTCTTATTTCTGATTCGCAGCGATTACATTGATACGCTTTTCTTATTTTAAAATTTGTTTATGTAAATGATTTATTTTTTATTAAATTAAATATTTGTCAAATTATATATAACAATGAGTATATCTTTTGATAACTAAATGTATGCAATAATTAAATTTGATGCGATTTATCCTTTGAAACTTGTTCCAGATGGTCCGCCATGGTGGCTGTCTCGGCCTTGGATTGGCCGCGATGGGTTCGCATAGACAAGACGTTTATGAACAATTAAAATTCAATTTGTATCAAGATGACGCCGTGACTGGTGAAGCTGCTGGAATTGCCATGGGAATGGTTATGTTGGGGTCCAAATCGACGCAGGCGATCGAAGACATGGTTGCGGTAAGTTTAATACATATTTTATTGCGCTTTTTTATCCTTCGCGTTATTTTTATGTATAAATAACATTTTTGTAGTAATATTCAATAACATTATAATTAACAAGAAATATTTAGGATACCTGTTTTTTATACTATTTTAAATATCCAACTTTAAAAATATTGATTGATATTTTTAATTTAGTAATATTTAAAATCTAGTAATTGAATGAAGCAGGAAATAGATTTTTTACCAATAAAAACAAATTTATCTCGATAAAATATATATTTTTTTTTAAACTCAAAATTACGAGAAAAGAATATGAAAAATGGAGATAAAGGCTTGGAAATAATATGAAGAATATAATTTTGGATAAATAAAATAGTAGAATAAATAGATTTAGAACAAATCAAGTAGATTTTTTGTACATTTCCTTTGCGAAGAAAATGATACAAACAATAAAAAATTAATTAACGTCTCGAAATTAATTTACGCGAAAGGAAACGTGAAAACTTTCGATATTTCTTCGCTTGTTAAAAGAAATAGAAATGGAAAGTATTGGAAAAGGGGGTGGTATCGTGCTTTGAAGATAAATAGATAAATATATCTACATTGATAAATAAGATAATACTGTACTCACTTCGAATCGAGGAACGATCTTGCCATAAATCTATTCCCGGCGCGAATCCTTGTAAGGTTTACGATGGATTCAACATAATACAGAAAAATCCTTCAACGTTCAAATCTTATCGCTTTGAAATTGTCTCCGAATTGTGAATTAATTACCTTTTTATAACTAATGAATCCAACAATGTTAATTGATATTGATGAACTTTATTTACCGATTAGATCTAGTTGTTTCGCGCTGTTATTGGAATAAATATCGGAAATGCCGATCGTTGATTTTATACATAGAAACCTCGTGTAAATGTGTATCACTTGTACTACAACTGCGTCCGACTTGGTCTTTGAAAACCATCGGACTTGAAAGCAAGTCCAGCAAGATCTAAAGCTACAAATAGCTATAGATAGCTATAGATAGAAATTTGTTTTGGTCTCGGATCAAGATAGCTAACTAGGGAATTGAAAGCTTGTCGCTGGACTTGTCGACTATCTCATCGATCTTGCTAAATAAAATGCTTGAAATAAAATGAGTGCTGAGATCGGCATGCGTTTCCAAGGAGCATTCAATTATCATGCTAGGATCGAGATCTGTATTCTTCAGGAAGTCTATCAGAAAGATCACGCGTTGTAACACGAGTGGCACACTTCTCACGAATATCAAGTCCAATATACCTCCAATACCAACGTTTGGCTGCTTCCCGCCAGTCGATCAGGATGACATGATTGTAATCACTAATATTGAGATAAGCTGATATTGATGTGATGACGTTAATAGAATGGAAATTCATTACTGAGCCTCGAGATACCGAAATAATTCATGCTTTTACACAATTTAGGAGATCAGATATCTAAACTAAGTTTGAGAATTTGTCAAAAAATTATATTTTTATAGGCAGGTATTTTTCTTTAAAAATAAAAAAATTGAAAATAAAAGGAGATAAGTAAGAATTTTATGTTTATTTTTGAAGCTCCAGAAAATCAAAGAATATTAAATTTGAGAATTAAAACACAAAATATTAAAA